ATTTGTCGGAGTTTTAAATCCCAGGAGATTCAGGTTCCAACCCTCCATTCCTTCCATGGTTCCAGCCCGCCCGAGTGGTAGTTCCTGTGGCGGCTGCTCCTTTGCACATACTTGGACCCTTATTCCTTTCGCCCAGGTTACCCTGGAGGCTTTTACTAATGTTCTGATACATTTCTGGCAGTTGTCATTCGCAAAGGGAAGCGGAGACGAGTAAGACATGCTACCTGCCTTACTGAGACAGATACGAAACAAGTAAGTGACGTGCATGTAGCAGGGAGGACGAGTGTTAGCTCCACGGGTGAGGGGCCAGGAGGAGGGCCACGGGGTGTCTCCTTCGGCAGCTGGGGAGCGTGGGGTGCACCAGTCACAGTGACTCAGGAGGATTTGGGACAGGAGTTTGATTTTGGAGGGTGACTTTGCTGTGTCGCTAAGACATACAAGTAACATAGACAAACCCCTGGAATTTAGGACAAAGGCTCCAAAAATGACATGCCACTTGACATCCCACATGGCATCTCACTGTTTGGTGTTTGCATCACGGAGGGAGAATGGATAAATGTTCTGTCTGCTACTTTGGGGCCTCCCTGGGTCAAATGCATTTTACATTCATGCAGTAAATATTTCTATGTTTCCTGGGATTTTTATGTATTTAGATATTTTTATAGTCCTGAATCCTTTCTTATTTCATATTACAAAAAGCCAAATTCTCAATTCAGATATGGGCAGGTTAAAACCTCCTGCTTTGCCAAGGTGAGTTAACCACACGGATACTGTGAACATTCTTTTGAGTTAATCTCCCAATTCGCACCTACCTACCATACCAGGGATTTCATAATTTTGCTTCAGACTCGTTCCTCCTGACGCGTTCCCTCACTGGCAGGCATTAAGACGCACCATCCACATTTTATACCACACTACTGCATGTGCTCAGGTTGGCTTCTATATGACTTCTCCCAAGTGTCACTCTAATGGGGACCGTCCCCCTCACCCCAAAGCATTGCTGTGAGGATGAAATAGTGGAAAGCACAAGTAAAGTGCCTGTGAAATGCAATTAACCTCAGACCAAGGGGGTACCTTGGCCTAATGCACCTGGATTTAAGAAAGGAACCTGCCACATTCCTTCACGACTTTTTTTGTCGATGAGACAGATAAATGTACCTGGAGAACGGCTCATCCTTTGATCTCACTGAAAGGATGCAGGCTAAGCAATGTATCAACCTGAAGGACAGTCGCTGATGTCCCACCACAAGCCTGAGCCGAGGTCTTGATTCCCCATGCATTTCTTTCTAAAACCAAGCTTGGGCCATTATTTATTTACATGAACACACAGGTAACATCTGTACCTAACTCAACCCTGCCACTACTCAGTATGTTACCAAGTTCTGTCAATGAGTATTCCAGAATTTCTGTCTCTCCTCTCCATCCTAACTCAAGTTTGGGTCTTTCCTGGTCTGATGTTGTAACATTACATCATATTTCACTTGATCTTCTATCTGTCTGCTGGCACCGGCTTCAAGCACAAAAATGGAGTAGGACGTAAGGCGCATGGCCTGTGTGGGTCACGGGACCACTCAGCACCCTATGTCACTGTCTAATGTGTCCCTAAGAGCCAGAGAAAATAGGTCTGGTGGTCTGAGGACGTGCATGATGTGAAGGGCAGTGGGCAAGGAGCCACAGCAGCTGCCACTGGCCCTGCATCTGCCAGGCACCAGCTCTGTGGCCCTGGACAGGCTCCCAAGCCTGTGTGCCTCACAAGAAACACAGGATGCTTCCTGCCCTGTTACCTCGTAGGTGGTAAACATCGCATGAGATATCTGCATGGCCATGTTCTTTGTAAACTGGAAAATGCTAAATAAATGTCAAGCACTATTGTTACTAATTGTTTATTTTAATTACTTTTACCAAATCAGGCTAAACCTTGGGTATTAATACTAAAGACAACCATATGAACATGTATTCATTATCCTTCAGTTCTTTTTCTATTATTTCTCCAGTTCTATTTCTATTATTTCTTTTAGTATTTACATAGTCATAAGTACTTTAAATTGGACTTTTGAAGCTGGTGGTAAATCCTAACTACAGCAGAGAAATTTTCCCAGAGGAATTGCTGTGTGCTTATGGGTTTATTCCCATCATAAGGAAAAGCATTCATAATAAAATTATTTGCTATTATGATTTATCCAGCTGTTATTGTAAAAAGAGGCAGTGACCCCTCTGCATTCTTAGAAGCTCCTTAGAGATTTTCTTTGCTTTGATGCTTGGTCTAAATTACTAATTCTTTTAGCAATTTTTAAAGAAGGGTACAAAGTGGAGATGTTTCCAGAGCCCTCGTATATCTGAGAATGCCATTTTGCATCTCAGCCTTTCCCTCTCAAAACTTGTTTTTCACTGTCCTTTGGCTCTTAATGGTGTCATACAACAGCATTTTACAATTACAGCAATTCTGGGATCATTGTAAATTTTTTTTTGTTTTTAAGATTTTATTGGGGAATTGGGGGAGGGGAACAGAAAAGCTGCTGTCGTTTTGTTCTACAGTCTAGTTGTGGAGGACGTTGCTTCACTGGCCCATGTTGGTATTATCATTGCGCTCTTCCTGGGTGAGGCAGTCGGTCACCAGCCTCTGGACAGACACTCACGGCAGCTTGCGGCAGCTCACACTGGCTGCCAGCCACACACGGTAGCTTATGGCAGCCCACTGCAGCAGGGCCTGCAGCCTACGCCATCGCCAGCAACTCATGGCAGCCTAGCTCCAGGTCGAGCTGTTGTTCACCACCTTAGCTGTAGAGGGCAGTGTCATTGGCCCTCATGTGGGATCCGAACCAGGGCCCTGCTGCACAAAGCTGGTGTCCCAAGCCAGCTCTTAACCAACGCGCCACGCCACTCGGCCGGCCCCCATTTTAATTATTTTTAAGTGTTCAGTGGCATCAAATCAAGAACAGTCACACTGATGGACAACCACCAAGGATTCCCTTTTAAATCATTTTTTTCTTCTCATGTCAAGAAAATTTTCTTAAATTCTCTGCATAGCATGTATTCACCCCAGTACCTCCAATGTGGTACCGGCCATGCTGAATGCTGGGAACACAAGAGGACACGAGAATTTGGTTTTTGTTGCTGCTTTTGCTTCAGTCGTTCCTGCTTCCCCTTCAGGAATTCTACAGTGTGGAGGGGGTGGTCCTCTCCCCCCATCCACGCTCCCAGCTTTCCCCACATCCCCCCACCCAGCATCCCTCCATCCTGGGATGATTACCGAGGCTGCCACTTTGCGAAAGTGCAAAAAAGCCATTTTGCACTTTTCTGCTTTGATAATGTTTTAAATCATAGCATTGTATTTCAGTCCTCTGCATTTCTTTCTTTCTTAATCTAAGCATCTTCTTTTTTAGCTTGTCCTATTATTTTATTTCTGCCTGCTCTTTCTCTAGGGCTTTCTTAGATACCGTGTTTTCTCAGATCTCACTGACAATGCCAGAGAGTGTTTCTACCGTGGGCTTTATTTCCTCTACAGTATAATTTTCCAAGTTACGCTCTTCCTCATGGTCTTTCCCTTTCCTTTTCCTGAAGAATGTTTGTGCCTGGGCTCCGTACAGATTTTTCTCCTTGCTCACCCTCAACTGCAAACGGATTGACGAAGACCCAGGGTTTTGTCACTGCTGGTATACTGGGGAGCCGGTGAAAGCACCTTTTCCCATTTACTTGTCACTGGCTGCAGGTTTATATCAATTTCTCCCAGTCCATGTCTCAGAATAGAGTTAGCATTTGTGTAGTTCAAGTTTGCCAGGGAAGATCTTTCCTTACCTTGGCTCAGATTCTGTGAATAAATAGGGTGAAGGACACAAACAGCTACATGTCTCCAGGGTCACTGGTCTTGGGGCCCTTTCTGGTGCCAGCATCACCCCAAGACTTGCCCTCTCTGCCCCAGCTTTGCATTGGGTATGGAGGAGGCACTACTGCCTCGTCTGCTGCTTCCTGCCCCAGGGCTGTCTGCGTTCACAAGTTTCCAGTGTTCACAGGCTGAGAAACCCAGTGAGAGGAGCCGGGAGCGGAATAAGGGGCAGCACGGGCCACGGTGAGTACCGCGGGCGTGGCATGCCAGCGGGCCTGCCTTCTGATTGGCGCTCACTCAGTGTGAGTGCGGGGGGCAATGACAGGTCGGGTCCTCTTGCATCAAGGTGGACCTGACATGGGTGGGTCACTGACATGTCTTCATCCGGTCGCATCTGTCTCTGAGCTTGTAGAAGTTCCTCCAGGTTCTGTGAACAGGTTTCACCTGGGTCCTGGCTTTGGGGCTTCTTCATTTTGCCTTTTTGCACCGTCACTAGTGGGAAGCAGCAAGAGGCTGCTAGCAGATGCTATTTTAAAGTCTATAATTAAATTCTTGACTTTGACAGTGGGAAAAACTCATTAAATCTTTTCTTTCCTATTATTAACACACAGGGATACAGTACGCAATAATGGAAGACAGATGGGTTCAGGACAATACAGACATGGTTTACATCCCAGCTTCCTTATTCCTCAGTTGCTGGCTCTTGGCACATCACTTACTAATTGTACCTCCACTTGTTCTTGGACACTCGTAATCAAGCTAGAGGAGTATGAGTTCAAGTCTGGTCTGTTCTGAGTCCATCTGGGTGCTGCCTGAAAGCTGCAGTCAATGGCAGGGACTTTGGGAACCATACTTCGTTCCTTGGTCATTGTAGCGGACAACCCCAAGTGCATTTTCAAAGCCTAGCATAGTGGTTTGAAGAAATGGTAATCGCTCAAAAGAGCTCTATGTGTAATCTTCCTGAAGACTGCTTCAAACTAAAATAATTTGGCTTTTAATGAAGTGTCTAATTGAACCAATTAACGATCAGCGGAGAGGGGGAAAGTTCAACAGGAGAGTGGCCAGACTAAGGAAGTGTCCAGGCCTTAAATTTAACAACTCTGTGCTCTAGTTTTTACTAGCTCACTGAGTAGATTTCCATATGTTCACAAATCTGCCAAACAGGCTAAAAGCCAGCTTAATTAAAACAAATTATTTATTCCAATTTCCATCCGTTTGAGGTTTTTCAGAAGTTATTACAGAAGTGAACACTGAACTCAGAAACGAGTGTTCACAGCTGGAGCATGTACAACAAAGCTAATATCTACATGACCTCGATTTGAAAGATCCAAGGTGTTTCTGTCATTCAGAATCCATGAGGAAAGTTTCGAAGTCCAAGTCCAAGTCGGAGACGAGGGCACTTACAAAGTCATCAATAGAAGGACGCTTCTGAAGCATACCTGCAAACAGAGAAAACATCAGCCAACACATCCACCCCAGAAAACAGGAGGGACAGACACACATTCTAGTCTCTATGCTAGGAGAACATCTGGCTTTCTGAAATAGGAGCTTGGCTCCATCACCTGACTCTGAGAACATGACAAAAAGTCCTGGGCAGTGTGTGGACCCTGAAGTCATTTAGGATGTCAACGCCTTTTTACTATCTAATCCAAATTTAGCATAGAGATTTAGGCCCAAATATGTTTTCTAAGGGTTTTTATTTTGCAGATACACTATATACTTGGAGTGATGTTTACAAGAATTTTTAAATTATCTTTGAGTTGATTCAGAATTTAATATGTTTGATTACCAAGTTTTATATACTTTAAAAAGCAATCAAGTGTTAATTCTTTTTCAGAAATCTTCTATCAGAGTCAAGTTATTGGCTTTCCTCCAATTTTCCTATCCTGGAGAACTCCTAGCTTTGCAACTTACTAATTGCATAATGCAGAAATCAGTTAAACTCTCCAGTACTCAAATTTTCTCATCTAACACACAAGGTTGCTATAAAGATGAAACAAGAAGAAGCAGTGGAAAGCAATGAGGCACCATGTCTAGCATATATTACTCATTTAATAAAAAGTTGAATTGATTTCCATTTTTCACTCCAAAGAAGTCAAGGATTCAAGCAGTCAACCTTGCTGCCTCAACCTCTATTCTTGGCAGGTAATGTAACTCAAGGGTTAAATGGGGCTCTATACATGGCATGTAATTTGAGGGATGGATCCCGTAAAACTAATTCCAACACTGAGACATTAAAAGATTGCCAGAGCCCTCTATTATCCTCTAAATCTTTAATGTAATTCAATTAACATGTCTTGAGTATTTGCTGTGTGGAAAGGATCAGGCCAGGTCATGATCAGGGAAAGTCAAATAGGCAAAGTCACAACACGAGGGCAAAACGGACACAACCACAAAAGTGAAGTGTGTGGAACTGGGTACCAGATGGGGGAGAAAACTACCCTTGACCCTTACACTTACATAAAAGTTAATGTGAGACGGGCACAGACCTAAGTGTAAAAGCCAAAATTATGAAGTGTTAAAAGGAAGCATAGAATCTCTGTGACTTTTAGGGAGGCAAAGGTTTCTTAGGACACAGAAAATAAAAACCATAAAAAGTTGATGTTTTTTATCAGAATGAAAAACTTCTACTCTTTAAAAGAAACCATTAAACAAATGAATAGGAAAAGACAGAATGGGAGAAAACACTCAACACTACCAGGACTGGTACCCAGAATACATAAAGGACTCTTTCAACTCATCATCAAAGTATTTTTTAAAATTAAAAATGGACAAAAGATTTGAGCAGACCTTTCATAAAAGAAGATGAAACATCATCATCATCCAGGAAAAGAAAACCAAAACCACAATGAGACACTGTGACACACCCACCAGAACAGCTAAATGACAAAGCCTGACACCACCACGTGTAGGCAGAGCTGGGGCAACCCATTGTCACACATCAGTGCTAAAAGGGTGACATGACATAGCGACTTTGGAAAAATGTCTAGCAGTTTCTTCTAAAACTAAGCACACACTTACCCTATAAGCCAGCAATTTTCTCCTAGATATTTACCCAAAGGAAATGAAAGCATGTCAACAAAGAAAAGGATTTTATCTCCCCAAACTGGAAAGAACACAAGTTTCCATTAACCAGATATGGATAAACACATGTAGTATATTCATAAAATGGAATGCCACTCAACAACAAAAGGAACCACCCACCTCCGATACAGGTAATAACATGAATGGATGGACCTCAAACACAATGCACTGAATGCAAGAAGCCTTACACAAGGGAATACATACTGTTTGATTTCATTTATATAAAGTTCAAAAATGGGCCAAATTCAATCTATGGTTGAAAAAAATCACAACAGTGGTTACCTTCGACAGTGGAGATGGCAATGAATTTAGAAGGGACACACGAAAACTTCCTGGTGTGATGTAATGTTACATATATTGATAGTGATTTGTGTTATAAACGTGTAAACATGTGTCAAAATTCATTAAATGGGGCCGGCCAAGTGGTGCGTTTGTTAAGAGTTGGATTGGGATGCCAGCTCCAAGCAGCCGGGCCCCGGTTCAAATCCCATTTGAGGGCCAGTGACGCTGTACCCTCTATAGCTAAGATGGTGAACAACAGCTCGACCTGGAGCTGGGCTGCCGTGAGTCGCAGGTGACGGAGTAAGCTGCAGTGGAGCTGCAGTGGGCTGCCGTAAGCTACCATGAGTGGCCAGCAGCCAACGTGAGCGGCCAGCAGCTAATGTGAGCTGCAGTGAGTGGCCGTCCAATGGCCGGCGAGCGACTGCCTCATCCGGGAAGAGTGCAATGATAATACCAACATGGGCCAGTGAAGCAACGTCCTCCACAACTAGACTGAAGAACAAAATTACAGCAACTTGTCTGTTTCCCTTCCCCGATTCCTCCAACGTTGTTCCCCTCCCCCAATTCCCCAATAAAATCTTTTAAAAAAACAACTCATTAAATGGTATATTAAAAATGTGCATATTTCACCATATATAAATTTTCACTAAAAAAGAAAACAACTATTGAACTCTAGTTCATGCTATGCCTGCAAAAGTGCCTAGGGGCAAAATGTACTGATGTCTGTAACTTGATTTGAAAGAATATGCATATTACATATATAGGATAGATTGATGGGTGGATGAAAGGATGGACAGCTGGACGCATGATAAAGCAAATATAGCAAAATGTTAATTGTAGAATCGAAATGGCAAGTACATGAGTGCTTACTGTACTATTCACTCAACTTTTTTGAATGTTTGAAAATGTTCAATATACCATGTCTGGACAAAAGAAAATTGGATGTTAAGAGCACACGAAGCGCTGCGGGTGGGAGAACAGAGGAAGAAAGGTGAATTCCGATGGAGAGGTTCAGAAGGCTTTGTGGAAGGTGGGGATCCGAGTAGAAACTTGAAACACGGGGACGATTTAAGTCCGTATTAGGGTCTTTCACGTGGTGAGGACGACATAAGAAAGGCAGAAAGGTGGAAATGCAGAATGTATGTTGACCACTAAGTGGTCCTCGTGGAGCTGGCGTATGGGTGGGGGAGACTCTGGGAGAGACACAAAGTGAGGAGATTGTGACTCGGAGCCAGAGTGACCAGGGATGGGAAGGGAAACTGAGCTTGTCACGTTTAGCTTCTGGGTGGGGGGCTGAGGGGTGGGGCACCCACGTGCAGGCATCCAGGCTTCAGTCAGCAGTGAGAACACACAGTTCAGGGGGCCAGGCCCAGGACCGGTCACATGGATGTGGTCATTCCCACCAGAGAGAGTGACTGTGTAGAAGCAGCCCAAGGACTGCTTTGTATGGGGGACAGAAAAACAGTAGCTCCAAACACATATTTGTAAGCCACTAACTAGATCTGGAGTAGTTAAGAACAATAAGATTGTAATATATTCATCCTCATTCAAGTTCAAATTCTAATACCTCCATCTCAGGAACTAGCTGAGAAATAAGGAGCAGCTACCAGAGGAGAATTTTGTTGCTATGTCTTTATTTGCAAAACTAAAGTTCAAATCACAGCTTTCTTTTTATAGTAAAATGATCTCCATGGATGAAAGAAGGCATCTCCTCTGGCCCAGCTGTGTTAATTACAGAAATGCAGTCCCTGCTGATTGCTCAAGTCGTGCATTTCACATCGAATTTTCTAGATGTAGGTTATTACTTAGGTAGATGCATTCTGATGAATACATCAGGTTTCAGGCATTTCCTTTGTGTCCCGTTTCTTAACACAGAGAACAGTTGTAGGGAAAACCTTTAAACATGGCTTTCAATCACGGGTTAATCTATGACACCATTTTATCCCTTTTAGTACGTGAAACATTCTATAATTAAATGACTGGCTGTTTATAATTAAATGACTAGAACTGTCCGGAGGTAAAACCCACTTATTCAGAGCAAACCTATTTAGTTAAGCATGGCCCTCCTGTCCCTTTGAAGTGGTTCATTTCCACTCGACAAGCTGCCAATGTAAATGTGACCTTGCCCTGTCCTTCTCAGCAGACAGACCCAACGAGCACACATCCTTCTCCAGTTCCCCATCTTCAATCATTCCTGCATCTCAGAGAATGGCAATTGTGGCAACAACCAGAGAAAAACATACACTCGTGGTATTTTTAAGTAAAACCTGGTCAAAGCTAAATGGTTCGGTAATTTTGTATGTTATGTGATTGCTAAAGATGAAGGTTGAAAAAGGAGGATGTCAGGACCCGAAAAGATCAAGAACAGTTACTGGGGCAAGAATGCACTTGGTATATTGTTAGGGCATCCTCGCTTTAATTAGATTTAAATGTTTTGCAAGTGTCAACATGAACTAACTTCTACACCGAATTAAAAGAAAAACAATGATTTCAGGCAGTTCCACAAATAAGGAAAATTGAAGTTAGCTTTTATATGTGTGTAGAGTCAAAAAAATTCCAAGAACTCTTTGATTTTTTAAAAAAAGCTGACAAAAATGTCTCCTTTGTCTTCAAGTCTTAATCTTAAAAGGGTGATGACTAGACTTGCAATTTCTTAGGAGCCCCTGGGAAAATGGTTGGAGCTGTTTAAGTCCATAAGTGGGTGGAGTTTACAAACATATTTCACCGTGGAAATCACCTAAATTAGGCGGGTATTTGGGTTGATTTTGCCAAAAGGACTGAAACAAACTGCAGTTTTACAACTCAAAAAAGTGTTGACAGTAATGCGAGAAAGACAAAACTGCATTAAGGCACACTGCACATATTAGTTCCTTACAAAGGAAAGGAGGCAGTTGGGTTTCATCTACCTGTCCTACTCAGGGGATAGAGAATATATAATGAGTAGTTAAAGAATGATGGTTTAATTTATTTTTCTCCTCATTTTACCTGAGAGGCAAATGGGCTAATAAAAGTTGGTACAAGCCAGAACAGTTTCACCGACCGCTCTGCTCAAACTAGCATGTTTCATAAACTT